AAAAGAATATGAATAAAATATAAATTTTAAAATTCCATCATTGTGCATTGCTAAATAAATTTAATTTCCAGAAAGTAACAGCAGTTTAAGTATGATAACCAATTATAATTCAGTCACCTATTTATAACTACTAGAGGCTATATAAGTTTACAAAGTTGGATGTCTGGTGATAAAAAAACAAATATTCAACATTAGAAATGGGTTTCTTTCAGTGCATAAAAGGGTTATCAAGTCAAGAGCACTTTAATGAAATGGAGAATAATTTAAAGATATTTATTTAATATCCTCATCTTATATTGAGTCATCTAAGAAAAAAATCACAGAATCTTAGTCTTGATGATGAAACTTGAAACCAGACACCATGACATGAGTCATTCACCCTAGTGTGATAACTTGAAGCCCTAAGCTAGTTTTAATACCCAGATGTCCCAGCTCCTGAAAATTACCATTAACTCAATAATTATGTAAAAAGAGAGTCAGCTTGCTATAATACAAGTCAATATAAATGAGGAAATGACCATTTATTGTGATGGATGCATTCACTGAATAAAAAAAATACCACCAAATTATTTAGGATAGAGAGAAAAAGAAAAGGTCTATATATACCCCAAGCTCCTTGCAGTAGTGGTGGATTAATCTATGGAAATTTTAAAAAAGCAAAGGAAAACACTGAGTCCACATGTGGAGAAAATATTAAAAGCATTTCACTGCGGGCAACAAGCGAAGGCAATGCATCTGCAGAGCCAGTTCTAACATTCATTAAGTGTTATGAAATGGAACAGTACAGACCCAGAGGCATGGAATATCAAGCTGTTGACAGGAAAATAGAAACTAACAATAAAAGGATAACTCTTTTGAGATAAAGCACAACTAAAGTTCATCAACACCAACAATGCATTGAAGGCATTGACAGTGCATTGGTACAAGTGGATACAGGCATGCTCCATGGAAACTTAAAGACATGATGTAGCAGCACCCTAGAAGGAGCCAGAGCTCCAAAGAGCTCTGGGGTCCATATGGGTTGGGCTGGATTATAAAGATGAGAAATGTAACTTGAAAAATCCTAAAATAAATTCTCAATTAAAAACAATTATTTCTTTGCCTTCCCTGCCACCATTTTGGAAGTCTCTTACTAAAGTATTGCTATTACCTGGTATGGAAAGGTGAATCATTTTTTATCCATCACCAGAGCCTGAATACTTGCTATTGCCTTTTCCCTGCCTTCCTCATTGATGGATACATGCTTCAGGGCTCAGCATAGCTACTCAGTGACACTTTCTATACCCTTTCAACTACCCTGAAAAAACTATCTCTCTCTCTCACTACATAGAGATCTATGCCACAGATTTCGTCATCTATAGTTACACGTGGACATGTGTACTTTCTTGAGTTAGAGCTATCTTCCTTTGTCCAGTTTTTCAATCTAGCATAATAAGGTTCTATACAACAAAATGAATAAAGGAAAGGGTCCTAATTATTTGGAAAGCTAACTAGTCTTCATAAAGAAACATAAAACAGCTTGAGCAAGTTCGGTGGAGAACAAATATAGACATCACATCAGTGAACTGAAAGCAAAGAGTCAAATCCATATGGACACTGGAAAGTTGTTCTAGCTACTAAAAGTATCCTAGACAAAATTAAAATTCAAGAAATACATGAGCACAAATGGGGAGCTAGAGTGTAACTAGAAATAAATAGCAGTAAGAAGAATAGTGTAGACATTGTACAATATTAATTCTTCCAAACCATGAATAAAGGAGGTCTTTCTACCTCACTGTATCTTTTCTTCTTCTGTCTTACAATTTTCATTGAAGAAGTCTTTCATACCCTTGGGCCTATTCTTCAGGGTGTGTGTGTGTGTGTGTGTGTGTGTGTGTGTGCAAATGAGATTGCTTTCCTGATTTCTTTCTCACTGAGTTTATTGTTATAAGATGGGAAAGTTACTGAATTTTATGTTCATTTTGCATCCTGCTACTTTACTGAATTTGTCAGCTCTAATAACCGTTGGGGAGACTCTTTAGGTTCTTCTATATATTTAATCACATAGTCTTGCCAACAGCTTCTTTCATTCCTATTTGTGTGCCTTTCAGTTATTTGTCTTGCCTAATTGCTTTGGCTGTAATTACTAGTGTTACACCTAAGAATGATGAAAGTGAACACCTTTGTTTGTTCCTGATCTTAGAGAAAAATGTTACCAAAGCAAACCAGATTTAATAGAATTTCTTTCAAAATGCCAATGATATTCTTCACAAAATTAAAAGAAAAATTCTAAAATTAATATGGTAGCAAAAAGTACCTCATACAGTCAAAGTAATCCTGAGGGAAAAGAGCAAATTTGGAGGCATCACTAACTCATTTTTAATATATACCATAGAGACACAGAAATAAAAAAGTATGGAATTGGAAATAAACCAATAGAACAGAATAGAGGGCCCAGAAATAAATCTAGGCAGCTGCCACTGATTGATTTTCAAAAAAGGAGCCCAAAATATACATTGGAAAAAGGAAAGCCTGTTAACAAATGGTGCTAAAAAAACTGAACACCCTCATGCAGGTGACTGAAACTTAGAGCTGGATGTAGTAGCTCACACTGGTAATCCTAGCTACTTAGTAAACTGAGATTATGAGACCCATGGTTTCAGGCCAGACATGGAAAAACACATGAGAGCCTCATCTTGACCAATAAAAAAACTGGACATGGCAGTGTACTCTTATCCCAGATACATAGGAAGTATAAATAGAAGGACCACAGGCAAAAAAAAAAAAAAAGCAAAACCCTATTTTTAAAAATAATGAAAGCAAAAAGGGCTGGAGATGTGGTACAAGTGGTATAACATCTCCTAACAAGTCTGAGGCCCTAAGTTCAATCCCTATATCACTAAAAGAAAAAAATAAATGATCTCAAAATTGGTCAAGGACCTCTAGATAAGACCTAAAAGCCGGGGCTGGGAAGGTGGCTCAGTGGTAGAGCACTTGCCTTGCATGCTTGAGGCCCTGGGTTCGATTCCTTAGCACCACATAAGCAAAAAGAAAAAAGCCAGAAGTGGTGCTGTGGCTCAAGTGGTAGAGCGCTAGCCTTGAGCTGAAAAGCTGAGGGACAGCGCCCAGGCCCAGAGTTCAGGCCCTACATCTGGAACCCCCCCCCCAAAAAAAGACCTTAAAGCCTACAAAGAAAACAAGGGAAACTCTTAAAGATGATGGCATAAGTAATAATTTCTTGAATAGGACCCCCAAAGTACAGGAAACAAAAGCAAGAACTGAAAGTGGAGAAAAGAAAACTAAAAAAAACTTCTGCACAGCAAAGGAACAACAAATACTGAAGAAACACCCTACAGAATGAGAGAAAATATTTGTGAGCACTTTGACTGACAGAAGACTACTAGCCAGATTATATAAAGAACTCAAAAAAGTTTTTAAAAATCATCTAATTTGTAAGGCAAATTATCTGAATTGATAACATCTCAAAAAAAAAAAAAAAAAGAAATGCAACTGGCCAATAAATATAGGAGAAATGCTGAGTTAGCCATCAAGAAAATGTCAGTTTTGTAATAAGATTCCATTTTGTGCCCATTCAAATGGTTATTATGAAACAAAATGGACAAACGCTGGCGAGGGAAAATGAAACCTTATACATTGTTGGGAGAATTTGAATTCATACAACCACTATGGAAATCAGCCCAAAGGTTCCTCAAGAAACTGCAAATAGATTCACCATAGATCTGGCCAGTTATCCTAATCTAAGTATACATCAAAAGGAAATGCAGTCAGCGTATCAGAGATATATGCATGGAAATATTACAGCACTACTGACAATAGCCATGTTATAAAACTAATCTATATATGTAAACAAATGTGTGTATTAAAATATATGTAATAAATACACAAATGAGTATCATTCAGTCATAAAGAAGAATGAAATTCTGTCATCTGAAGGAAAATTGATAAAACTAGATATCATTATGTGAAGCGAAGCCAGCCAGACATAGAAAGACCATGGAAAGACAAGTATAACATGTTTATTTTCTTTAGATGTGGAAACTAAGAAGAATGAAACAAAAAACAGGAAAAGCAGAAGGATCACTAGGGACAGGGAATGCAGGAAGCAGAGTGTCAGGGGATGAGATAGTATGGGAGAGAGTTAAAAAAAAATGGAGGGACATGATTAATGCATAATATGTGCCTGCATGGAAATACCACAGTGAATTTCATTTATTTGTATCATTGATACAAATTAATACAAATGACTTGATACATTGATACAAATTAATCTTATTAACTTGTACATTGGTTTATTTAATAAAAATAAAATGAGTTTATCTAGCAGAAACCATAAATAAAGGAAGCCATAAATAAAATGAAAAGGAGAAATAGTTGGGAAGGGGAAATGGAGCTAGGAAAAGAGGGAGGAAGCAAAGGGGAGGAAGGCCAGGCCTGGGAAAAGCAAACAGGCCTCTTCTTGCAGAAGTCTGCTTGGATCAAGTCAGCACAACTCACCTGTTAATGACAGGACCTAATGCAGTAGAGGGGTAAGGGCCATAGAGTATCAGAGATAAAAAGACCAGAGTTCAAGGTTTGCCATTTGTAATTGGGACCCTCTCTGAACCTGTCTCCTCATCTAAATGTCTTCCAGCCTCTACATGTAGGATAAGTTTGTCCACATGGAACACTTAACATTTTGTCTTTCTTAAAGGCCTACACATCTATTCCTTCACTAGTCCCTTGATTTTCACCAACTTTGAATAGTATGTTCTTCTTGGAAAACCATAGGTGATGCAACCTCCAAATTATAAATCAACTCATTTTACTGAGGAAAAAAGCAAAGCCTAGAGAGGTTATGACTTGGTCAAAGTTATTTATCCAACTTTTTACTGCCAGTTACAAGGTAAAATCTAAGCACTCTGTTCTAACCTGTAGAGTTGCTGCAAATGTCCTGGTGAAGAACTGTGGCTAAGTGCTAGTTGGACAAAGGGACCAGAAGCCTTGCCTGGCAAGCACATTGTTCACTTGAGTTTCTGTGAAGGCAGGAGCTCTGTCAGCATGACCATGGCTGCTGGCATAGGGTGCCTTCCACTGTCCTCTCCACTTCCAGTAAGATCAGTTAGCATCCCAGTAATCAGCAGGATGCTTTCTGGGCTTGTTTGCTTGATTGATTGCATGTTGTATATTGTTATCAGCAATCCAAAGGTATCATTTGCGTAGGATATGCTTTTTCTAGCTGACAATCTCTGCATTTATGAAGATGTCCTTAACTTACAGATGAAAATATGAGCTTTGTCTGAGGACTAAAACAAGATTCCTCAAAGAGAGTTGCCTCCATAGTGCAAAGAAGCAAGGAGCTGACTCATGTACATTTATCCCATTTCCATATTTTGCTTCTTAAACTGAATTTTGTGAGAGATTTTTTTCTTTTACTTTAAGATCCAGACATTTATCAGACATTTATCCAAAATTGTCTGCTATTGCATTGGGATAATTGTTCTTTTCTACCATTTGTAGCCCAGTTTTAAAGTCATTAATAAGTAATAAAACCACCAGAAGGGGAGAAAATGTGATGATGAGCTAAAATACTGTTTTCCTCTCCCCCCTCCCCCCCCCGCCCCCGCCATAGCCTTGGTTACTCCAAATATGAGAAGGATTATATTTTGTTTGTGCCTGTCTAGGAGCTTGAACTCAGGGCCTAGGCACTGTCCCTGAGTTGAGTTTTAGAGGTGGGAGAGTCGGGGGATTGCTCAAGGTTAGTGCTTCACCACTTGAGCCATAACTCTACTCCTGGCTTTTGGTAGCTAATTGAAGGTAAGAGTCTCACAGACTTTTCCTGCCTGGGCTAGCTTCAAACTGTGATCCTCAGATCTCAGCCTTCTGAGTAGCTAGGATTACAGCCTTAGGCCACTAGTGCCTAGCAAGATAACCAGCTTTTTAAGTTTAATTTTCCCAGAATTAATGGCTTACTAAGTAATACACATTTGGCTATAAACAAAATTCTTACCTTTTGTTGGTACAGTACCAGAATTACAAGCACAAGACTGACCTCTGCTGGAATTGTGTGTTATATGGATCATGATTTTTGAAAAGTCCAATGTGCTAAACAAGACACTGCCTAGGGCCTTAATACCTCATCAAGTGCAATTCTCTGTGGGGAATGTTTTTAAAAGTTAAATTCTTCATCATCTTTAAACAGTAATTGTGTATAATTACACTGGCATTTTGGTAAGTACAAAGTTTAGTGAAAGCTAGATGTCAGTTTTATGTTTTAACTGTTACTGTCTCAAATGATTAAGAGTTAGAATACTAAGACAGGAGTTAGGCATGATGGTTCATGCCTGTTATTCCAGTTATTCTGGAGTCAGAGACTGAAGAATTGAGGTTTGAGGGTAGGCTTAGGCAAGTTAACTCAATACTACCTGAAAAATAAATAGGACTAAGAATGTGACTCAAGTAGGAGAGCATTTGCCAAGCAAATACATGGCCCTGAATCCAATTCCTAGATTTATTTGGCAAAACAAAAACAAAAAAGAGAGAACACTAAGTCAGTTTAATTCAACAAGATTTGACCATGTGATGTATTTTATTTAGAAAAGTCCAAAGTATCAAAAGCTTATATAAAAAAAAAAAAACTTAGAATCTCCTCGCCACTGAAAAAAGGAGGGTCACAAGCCCAGAAGCTCCAAACCAACCAAGGCAACAGAGTGAGACCCTCTTCAAACACACACACACACACACACACACACACCAACAAAAAAAATAGAGCTGGCATCGACAGAACTCATTTGCATATAGCAACATAGATAAAAATCCAGGTTTAATTTTGAAAATTATGCAGAGTAAGCAAGCAAGAAGGTGGGTATCAGTTGTTCTACTCCCTCTGCTTTTCAAGGTTTAAAATCTCATGTGAAATAGCTTTCAGTCACATGACTCTTAAATTCAAAGCATCTCTTCAATAATTTTTACTTGGATTTTTTCATAGTTTGAGTCTAAAACACACCTAATTAAAAATGCACATATGTAGATATACAAATCAGCAACTAGAGACAAATGAATCATGGGCTTTCAGAAAACAAGAAATTGCACTTTTTCCTGCATAATTATTTTTAGCAGCCAGCTGTCTTGGTTTATTATCACTGAAATGTCTGTGGCCAGAACCTTTCCAAGGTCATGAGTTCCCAGTGGAAACAGTGAGTAAAAGGCCTCTACATTCCCATGTTGCAGTCATCTACAAAAATCAAAATCATGTAGAGTGATGCAATTTTAAATATCAATTATAGCTTATTTATTTCTCATGAAAATAATCCTCAGGCCTCTGGGTTTTTTTTTTGTTTTTATGGGGGGGATCCGGTTGTGGAGCCTGAACTCTGGGCCTGGGCAATGTCCCTCAGCTCTTCAGCTCAAGGCTAGCGCTCTACCACTTGAGCCACAGCGCCACTTCTGGCTTTTTTCTTTTTGCTTATGTGGTGCTGAGGAATTGAACCCAGGGCCTCAGGCATGCAAGGCAAGCACTCTACCACTGAGCCACCTTCCCAGCCCCAGGCCTCTGTTTTTATAAAGAAGTTTGTCTTACAAAGCACAGAGCAACATACCACTCAAAAAGACTACCTTCTTTTATTACTAGCTGAGAAAGGCTGGCAAAATCTGTAACATTTGTGATCGCTGGAGGACAAGATAAACTTTTCAACAGATCCTCTAAAAAAGATTTCAGATGTTCTATGTGTTCCCAGTTGGACAGGAAATCCACAAAGGAATATTATAAAGTGAGTAGACCTAACCAGATATATGAATCTTTTTCAGAAATAGGCATAATTGGTAGTATATTATGGAGAACATCGTTTGTTCTGAGTCCCAATAAAACAAACAATTCACACAGCAATTGCCTAATGTAAAATTAGCAAACAGTTAAAGTGATTTTTATATAAAATCTCAGCTTCACTAAGAAATCATGGAATTGATAGAGCAACACAAATATACACTAAACAATGATAAAATCACTTGTTACCATTTCCACTTCATTTTCCCCAACTAGAAACAAAAGCAAAAAGTTCACCAGTAGGACTCATTATACTGCCAACTTAATGAATATATCCTCTACTTAACCTAGACTTCATCTTTGTTTACCAATTAAGTAGCGAATTCACTTCCAACTTGACTCAAATTATAAAAGTCTGTTTATGTTGTAGATCCCAATCATGAGGAAATATCTTTAAGATCTAATATTTTCCTAGAAGATCCAATGTACACGTATATACAATATACAACAGTATTATACTATTTTCAAGCAATATCATCTTGAGAAAGGTAATGTAAGAATAATTGCAAATGCCACAAAATTAGAATTTCCTATGTTTCACTTGAGTACTTTAAAATATTATCAAGATAGATATACATAGAATCTTAATACTGATTTTAGTAGGCAATGGTACTCTTACTCCAGGAGCATTTGTAGGCTTTTGGTCTTAAAGACAAAAAAATAAACATGATTGAATGTGGCAACACTCACATAATAAACATTTTAACTGATTCCACTTTTAACCATGGTAAGTGATTTTTGTCACATTCCAAATAAAGGGACATTTTGACCTCCCTTTCTGGATAGAAGTATCTTACAAATCAAGTTCTTTATAGGAAATAGTTTCCATAAAGATGTATAGAAATTTTCTTCAGATGTGAGGATCTGAATCAAGCGCCTGGATAATTCAAGTTCTAAGCTGTGATCAGTATGTCAACTAAATTTGCTGGAGTCCTGGATATGACTTCCCTGAAGGCTAATGCAGTATTACTGCTCAAAGATGTATGAGAAATTAGAATGATGAATGGATAAATATCATCACCTTGCTCATATCCAAAGTATATTCAACCTTGAAAATTTGCTACAGTGCTCTCTTAAAATTGTCTATATGGAAACTTCCTTTGATAAATTATCAGTCACTGAGAGCAACAAAAATCTCTGTAACATTTATTACTGATCATGCCTTAAAGTGAAAGCAATTATACATAAAAATAACTTTCAAAACCTACCTGAAAATGAAGCACATGTATGCTTGTATCCGCAGTGCTTCAAAGAAAGTTTTTGTCTTAATCACCAATGCAGGAATTTTTGTGGGAAACTCCAAGAAAAAATCTCCACCTTTATCTGTAGGAAATGACCCAAGAAACTAAAATCAATATGGCAAATCTGGTTAGGATGATGCAAACACTGCAAATCAAAGAGAAATTTGAGATCTTAATTTTTAGAAAACTATCAGTTGAAAAGTAGCATACGTAACTAAAATCCATAAAACACTTCTTACTTGTCAACCTGGACTTTTCTGTCACTCAGTAGTTGTTATGACCACCAACTATAAAACTGACAAGGTGAGCAATTGGCTTACCAAGATAACTAAAACTTACGGATCCTCAGTTTCCCAGGGTATAAAACAGACAATAGAAGGAATGCAAAACCTGTAATTGTGGATATATAAATTTGATATACTAGATGTACCTGAAAGAAGTACTGAAATGGAAGAAAAAAATCTGAAAAAATTATCCAGATGGCATCACAGAAAGAAACTGGGAAGCTACAGAAATTAGGAAGTAGAATATTCTGGGGAAGTCTAATGTGTCTAACTAGAGATCGAAGCAGAGGAAAGATTAACAAAGCCAATACTATGGTGATGGAGAATTTCAATCTTCTGATTCAAGAAACCCAACAAATATTCAACCATTAATTCTTTTAAAAGTATACCAAGATTGGAAACTGAAGAAACCAAAGACAGAGAAAAGCAGCCTGCTCAAACAAGATACATTATTCACAAAGGAGTTACAACTAGAGTAGCATATGACTTTTTCAAAGCAACAATGGAAACTACCTAACAATAAAAAATACTTAATTTAGAAAAGCAAAATAGGGGCTGGGAAGGTGGCTCAGTGGTAGAGCACTTGCCTTGCATGCCTGAGGCCTTGGGTTCAATTCCTCAGCACCACATAAGCAAAAAGAAAAAAGCCAGAAGTGGCGCTGTGGCTCAAGTGGTAGAGCGCTAGCCTTAAGCTGAAGAGCTGAGGGACAGTGCCCAGACCCAGAGTTCAGGCCCCACAACCGGACCCCCCAAATAAAAGAAAGAAAGAAAAGCAAAATAAAGTTTTCAGACAAACACCAGCCAAATGAATACTTAAGACTGTATTTCATGCTTAAAATCGTAGCTACAAGAGGGTGAGGTCCAGAGGACCACAATTTGAAGCCAGTATGGGCAGAAAAATCCATAAATACTTTATCTCCAAAATGACAGCAAAAATTCAGATTGGAAGTGAGGCTCAAGTGATAAAAGGTCAAGAGAGCAAGCAAGCCAACGAGAATAAAGTTAAACCCAGTACCAACAACAAAAATAATGTATTTTAAGAAAGGGAAAAGTGGTAAATTTAGTGGATAAATCTAATCACCAGATTTTATTAAAAATAACAAATTATACAATTTTTAAAGTAATACAATAAGACTGGTATGGAAATACATACTTGTAATCCCAGCTGTTGTTTCGGCCTGAGAGCTATTCTTAAGCTTTTTGGTTCAAGGCTAGCCTCCCCACTTTGAACCACAGCTCCACTTCCAGTTTTTTGGTGGTTAATTAGAAATAAGAGTCACATGGACTTTCCCATCCTGGCTGGCTTTGACCCACAATCCTCAGATCTCAGCCTCCTAAATAGCTAGGATTACAGGTTTGAGCCACCAGCTCCCAGTGATACTAACATTTTTTTTTAAAGCATCAGATACTCAGGAACAAATATAACAAAAGATTTGTGAACTTTAAAGGAAAATTTAAATAGTCATATAGTTTAAATAAGTGAAGGAGTAAATCATGCTTAATGATTCACTATCATAAAGGTAGCAATTCTCTCCAAATGAAAATGTCAATAAGGTACATGAACATGTATAGGTGACAAGCTATTAAAATACATACAAAAGTGAAAAAGTTCAGACAACATAGAGTTGTCAGCCATATTACTAAAAGCAAAGTAGACTGTAGTCAGACACCGTTACATACCTACTTATTAGCAACCAATCAAACTCTGACAACAGCAAACTGAGCTCCTGTGCACTAATAAAGGAAGCATTCATTGGCACAACTACTTTGGTGGTCCTGTGGTTTGAACTCAGGACTTTGCAACTACTAGGAAGGTACTCTATTCTTTTTTTGTTTTTGTTTTTTTGGCGGTCGTGGGGCTTGAACTCTGGGCCTGGACGCTGTCCTTCAGCTCTTCAGCTCAAGGCGACGCTCTACCACTTGAGCTACAACGCCACTTCCAGTTTTCTGGTGGTTTATTGGAGATAGGAGTCTCACGGTCTCTCCTGCCCGGGCTGGCTTTGAACC